TAAGAGTGTAGCATTTTAAACAAAAGCATTTACTCTCCTCAAAAAGGATTGTGCCTCTTTTTGGTCGAAATAAATCTCTACTGTTTCAAAAACCTTAATGCATAGTAAGTTTTTGAAGTTTCCAAATCAATGTAAGGAGTCATTTTTTTAAACTACCATTAGTTAAATGACACATACAAGCAAGTATAATAGTTTACTTCAATTTGTATTTGACTTCAAGTATTCATAAGACCATACATTATACGATTATACAGGGTATAATACTGCATAAGATTATAAAGGGTATTCTTGCAGCTTACCCTGTATATCCGTTCCAATGTTACCCTATGCTACTAGAGGGTGTAAACACAGGGTAAAATTGGGGTTGGAAACCATAAGAAGATAATCTAATAAAGGTTGTGTAAACATAAATGCAAAGACCAATAAGACGTATGATATTTGATGACTTAAAACCAGTCATAAGTATAACACTCAATAGATAATGTACAATAACAAACTCCAGAAAATAATTTAAGATACAAAGAAATAATAGATTTTTCAAGAATGCAATGCTTAACAAATTAATACATACTTTTTTCTTGTAGTACCGCCAATCGTTGTATTTTAAAGAGTCAGAGAAGAAGATCTGGTTTATTTGTTTCCAGTAAACAGAATGGCAAGGAACAAGTTGTAGTGAGACGGCTCTCAGGAGAACAATCGGGGTAAAACTAAATATTCTCCTCGACATTTGTCGTGAAGATAAAATGTTAAGTCACATTTACACCTCTGAAGCATGCCATGTTTTCCATTCAAAGTAAACTGTAAACTTTAATGGCCTTTACTTACTATTCTAGATGAAAAAATACTCTTTTGCCAACGTTACCCTTGGTCATCTGAATGGAGCGTTAAGTTTGCAACAACTAGGTATTCAACCTCTATAATAGTAGTTGTTAAGTAGTGTAGAAGGCAACATATCATTTTTCGTAATCAAAGTGCTTTGTACTGGACTCTCAATCTTTTTTCATACGAAAAAAGGAACTTACAAGTTTAAAACTGAGCAACTGTCATCAAGGAAGCAATATTAAATAGTTAGGTTTCGTTTGATTCGTGAGCAAGGTTATAAGTAAGGTATGCATATAACAATAAAATGAAAGTCTATATAAAGCCAAAAGTATCCATGAACTTTTTAGAAAACTACAAGTCACACTCCCATAAACCATATACTTAAACTGTTCGCCATGACGAGAAACTTTGCGCAAAACTATACATTATTTCATAAATCGCCCTTCAAGGTCGTAATTGCTTTCCAAAGAGAAACCTTCCTTATACGTAATGTTAAAAAACCTCAGCTGTCCTTATTTGTATGTTATTGTTTAAATTTATTTCCTTATTAAAATCAGGTGTGATTATTTGTTTGTATTTATATATTCTGTTTTGTTTATTTCAGCTTAACTTAACCAATCAACAACTAGTAAACTTTATTTCTCAAAGTTTTTCTACGGAAATATTTTAATAATTCACTATTGTATGTAATGGTAATAGTAATTATTGATCCCAACTTCTCATAAAATCATTGGTAAAAATATAATTCGATTCATTATTATTCCGTGCTCTTCATTAATTCATTTATTAATTTAGTAATTTTGGCTATTTATTAATTCCCAAGATCATTATAAACACAAGTTGTAATTCGAATCTGATTTGTTATACTCGTCCTATAAGAGGCTTTATACAATTTAAATTTAATTTTAATGTAAGAGTTTACTTATATCACATAGGGAAATCTAGATGCAATCGCAATCTAAAAAATATACAAGACATTGGGACTCTTTATCTGCCATATAAACTTTAGTCGGTTATTTATATGAACGATGACATACATGAAAATCTCCATAGACCAACATAGCTTAAATTTAAAATCATTAATTTTTTTGCCAATATAAAAAAAAATACGCTAGAAGTGTACTAGACATAATTGGCTCTAAAAGTATACCACCGTCATTATCGATGATTGCACTTGATGTCATTCAACACTCAATTAATGCAATGACAAAGTGACATGGCATAAATTAGTGGTTTATCAATTTTCTCATTTTGGAGATGGTTAGAAATACAATTTGTGCAACGTTGCTGGTAAAATATATTAAGTAAAGTAAGATTTCCTTTTTTTACTTGAAGCTACATTGCATTTTTTATTTTTGAAGATGTTAGGGCTACGAATCTCCAGCTCTATATACATCTATGTATCTCATGTTCATCCATGGATCCATGTTTGCTCTATATAGGCCTACATAGGTTTTTAAAGAAATTACTTTTACTTTATGACATAAAAATGTTTTTACAATTTTAAATTCACATATTTCATATAGGTTAATATCCAATTTGAGGACAGTTGAGTAGCGCCGAGCCAAGCCATTAGTACCAAGATAATTGCCTGTATGTTAAACAAAGCTAGCAAAGTGACATAGACGTCACTCCCAGGTCTACACACAAACATCTTTCATTTAATTTATATAACAAAAGTTTCTCACATATCATATTTTAATTTACGGTATCCATACATAATTTAATTTATGAAGTCAGTGCATTCCATGAGTTCAACGACAGGAGACATGGACTTAAATAGCGAGCGTAAATCAAACCCAGCACAATGCAAGATAAAAGGTCTGTCACTACCAGAATGTTCCGTTGGGCATACACTGTTTGTTTATACAAACTGGTCGACCAATTAAGATTCATTTGGTTCAATAATCGACTTCTTTCCTTGCGTGGCAATGACATTTCCCAGTGCTACCATTTCGTTTGACCGAGAAAGATTTATAAATTTGCAATGAATGGCATTTTAAAAATTTTGTTTGAACGGTCCAAACCCTGGTCTTGTAACTAGTTGACCTTTTTGTTGGACAGGGCCATTAATTTATAAGATAGCGCTAGTAATTACAAAGACGTCCTGTTTTGGTTTTTAAAAAGTATTGCTTGGAATAATTCCGATAAAAAACTCAAATGTATTAGGGGGAGGGGGGGGGGGTTGTTGGTGGTTCAGTCGGTAGCGTCACCGACTTCGGGCCAAAAACGGCTGCTACTTTTTTATTAGTACAGTTCACGTACGTACTGTACTGGCTCCCCTTTGCTAGATACGTCCAAGGCACAGGTCCATAGCCTATGTGGACGGGCAAATGCAAGGTTAAAAGATACTACCAACTTTTTTTCTAGAAAGCTCCATTGATTTGTGTTGTTATTTAATAAAATGCTAATCAAAGATGTTAAGACAGGGTATTGTTAATTCTAGGACGGTTTATTATAGCAGTTGTAAATGTGTAGCCTGCTTATTTAGGTATTTGTCGTACTTCAAGGGTGTTAATGTGGCGTGAAATTATATCTCCACGACAAATGAGAGGAGAATATCTCGTTTTGCTCAGACTACTCTCCAGAGGACACCACAACTTGTTCCGTGTCACTCTGTTTACTGAAGGCAAATAAATTTGCATTAAATTTCCTAATTTAGCTTTTAACAATACAACTCCTATAACCAATACAATTTCTTTTAGGAAAGTAAGTAATAAATATGACATGTCATATCAAAGAAATATTTTTTTTTTAATTTTCCCCATTTCGTATCAGTCCGACACGTTCAGAGCGCACCGTGTCAGAGCTTACTGAACAAGAACACGAACGAATAATGTCCAGATATAAATTTCGAGATCATACAAAGATAAAGATTATGAGCCCGTAGTTGGAAGATACAGTTAACTGACATAAATTACAAGTATCTACGTTTCGTAGGGTCATTCATATCACGGAAATGTGTAACATTTGTGGTAGACTTATACTACTAGATAATTGATTAAATGTAGAAATAACAAGATAGAGAAACCGTAGACCGAGCTAAGGGAGACATTAGTTGGGCCGGTTTGGTACTAGTACAATAATATGTGTAATTTAAGTTTTAAGATCCCTTGGAAAGTTATTCCGAAAGCCTGATTGATGAAATGACGACAGCCCTCGTTTATAATGCCACTCGTGGAACAATGAGATAGGGGATCTTTCCAAGTAATGACAGTTGTTGGTAAGACACAAAAGCGTCGACTACTCGCTTAAGAAAAGGACATTTTTCATGAAAATAGGTAACCTGAACATTGAACACTCGTAGGTCACCTTATAGTTTCAATAATTAATGTCATTAGCAAATTGAGTGTAAATCAATAATGTCTAATTCACTCTTGTCACTTGTCCTCCAGACTTTTGTCTTGCAATATTGTATTTTGTTATAACGACTGTCCCTATAAATAATCGCAACTTATTAATCTAGATTATTTAGATGTTATGTTTATTTAGGTGTTCCATTGAGTAACATTATGCACTGTTGTTTACCACGAACAGCTACTAAATGAATTAAAAATCAATAAAGTGGTAATCTAAAGTCATATACAATGAACAGGTTATAAATTTAAATTTTTATTTATGATTTCATCAACTTCATGGCTCAACTAGGTAAAAATAGTTTTTTTTTTGTGTTTTACTAAGCTATTGGATTTGTATGATATTATTCTTAGATGGTCCAACCTAACCTTGTTATCCGACGACGACCTTTTGTTATTTATTGTAACTTAAATGAAGACATACTGTAACAAAAACTGCCTGTTATTCTCTCACCAAGCTAAGAGAGTAAGGACTGGGTTGCCATTTAAATCCGTAGTAGAGAGCTGCAAGTAGTGTCATTCTGTTCACAAATGATGCCAGTAAGCAGCGAGGAGCCTCGTTGAGGCGTACAAGCGAACTATGGGTTTATATACAAAAGCACACTTACTGAAATAACCACCCTAGTTTAACATTTCTAGGATAGAACTAAAATTTACATACCTTTCTGAAAAACTGTTAATAAAATTATAAGTCACTATTCCAACTAAATAAGATTATAAATTAAACGTAATTAAGTCAACATTAAAATATCAAAATGGTCCATGCAGTAAAATTACGCGTCAATGTGAAAGATAAAAAAAAATTAACGTGTGTTACAGAGGATGTCTGTGGGTCATCCTCCCCATCTGCGTCACCATCATCACTGGCTGCCAGAGAACATCTCTCTCATGCATAACACTTCAACCTCCACCACAGACGCGTACACCTACTCGTTCACTGACTCGGCTCTCTTGTGGAACGACTCATATAACCTCACTGAGTCGACTCCCGTAGTGAACGGATCACGGTCTGGGGTGGACCCGGTGGTGTTCATCTACGCGTCTTCCTTCCTCATCGTCTTCTGTACAGTTTCTCTTGCTGTTAACGTCGTCATTCTGAGCTCAGTCTGCTTCATGAGATCCAGGTAAAGACACACAAAGAATAATTATTTTGTCACACTACACATGAGACTGAATTTAAAAGCTTTATCTTACATTCTTGGCAAATATTGTTCTTTAAAACCACTAGCTTAGTTTGAGAAGTATTCGTAAGAAATACTTAAATGGCAAATTTTGATGATTTAGTTCATAGGTTATTGAACACGTATGTTAAAATCTATTACACCTTTTTACGGAAAGAAAAACATCGTGAAACAAAAAAAAATTCATATACATACGTGGTGCAAAGACTATCTTCATGGACTTAAAGAAAAAAGTTCCACTATCAAGGGTTTGTTTTGGATTCGTGCCAATCAAGTCAAAGGCATTGAGAATTTTTTAAATCGTAGTATTTTCTAATCCAGTACTAATTTCCAACAGGGCTGATAAAAACTAATCGAACACAAAACCACAGGTTTAAAAAATTAAAAACTCCTTGATGAATAAAAACATTTAGCCTCACCTTATCATGATAAGCAATATGTATCTGTCATCAGTATTTCAAATACTGCACAGCTAAACACAAAATATGACAAGCCAAACTAAAAATCTGAAAAAAATGTAACAAAAACAAGTCCAACTTGGGACTTTCTAAAAGCTTACTGCTTTAACTGAGAAGATATACACATAGTTCCTAGAACATTTTTCTTTCCAGGATCTACCCAACTCTCTACATCAGCCTGAGTCTCGCCGGCGCAGACACCTTCTCCTTGTTCTTCTACGCGCTGGGGCTACTGTTCTTCACGTTGCTGCCGCGCCTAGGCGTGCGGTTTGACACACCCTGTGCCATGCTGATGTTAGAGGCGCTGCGGATGGGCGCTATCATGACCACCCTGTTCCACCTGGCTGCTCTAGCAGGCAACCACTACCTGGGCATCCTCCTCCCTCTGCACTACCCTGTCTACATGGCTCGCAGGAACATACAGTACTGCATCATAGTTCTGTGGACCATCCCGTCCTCTCTACTGGTGCTCGACATGTTCTTCCTAGAAGGAGATGGCTTCAAGATGTGCCCTTATCAGTGAGTCTTCTTATACATTTGCTGCTAACTGAGGATAGTGCCTTGGACTTTGGTGTAAAAAGTGAGGACATGTAAATTCTCTAGATTATCCACAAAAATGAGAGGGAAATTTTACAAACGTCTCCGTAAAACGTAACTATCAACAACAAATAAGTCCTATAACCTTTACATAATTGGTACAAATACTGGCTTTCGTGAGTAAATCCTAACAATTTTAACAGTAATTCCTTGTACTATATTTCTAAACTATGAATCTGTGGGTTGTAGATTTCTACCCAAGGCTTACAGTCATAGCATTGACGCTATCTGTTGTATTGTGTACGGATGGCATTTAATTTAGAACTGATAACAAATTTTTAGAGACAGGTGTGTAATTGTTTGTCGTTAATTCAAAATTATATTGTCTGATGCTCAGTGCAGCAATTGAACTCGATTGTATCTTAAAGAACAAAGAAGTAGAGACAAGTTGATTGTCATGACATTTTTGTCGTTAATTCAAAATTATATGGTCTGAAGTTTCAGAGCAACAATTTAACTCGATTGTATCAAAGATGAAGATTAGTTGTAATAGTTGTATACACTGTTAGCCTACCTAAACAATAGGTCTTGGTGAAATTAAATAAAACCTTGTGTCATAAAGGATTTTTATAAAGGATTATTTTTTCCAACTTGTGTTTCGTAGCTTTTTGAAGAGGTCCAAGTTCCGAACGCGGTTCTCCATCCCTTTCTTCACAACGCTGGGTATGATGATCTTCATATATCTCCACATCTACAAGCTGGTCTGCAAACACCAGAAACAGCCTCTGAATGGGAAATACCAAGGACGCAGATGCTACACGAGGAGATCCGGAGGCTTCTCCAGCAGCCAGGTGAACTCTTGAGATTATTTTTTTTATTTTCTCCCACTTTTCAAAATAATAAAAGCATATTGTTGTCTTATTTTAATAAGTATTTTTTATACTTATCAAATAAACTTGACTTGTTGAAAATATTTGGTAAATTGTAATTTCTACCAATCTGCGTCCATTAAAAACTTTACACACCATTAAAAACTACTTTACCTACGAGGTAATAGGTACTTCCAGCAGGATTTTACCAAAAGTACTGTTTTAGTTATAAAAAGAACAAATATTACATATCTTTTAGAGATACTACACATATTGAAACAGTTTATTTACAACATCTGGTCTAAAACAAACTAAACAAAATTTAAGTAATTTCAAAATTATTATTGTTATAAGTGCAAGAAAGCGGAAGTCGAGAGATCAACAATTGAATCGGTCGTTACCAGCTAGTATAAGTTGGTGTTCGAAGCATTACAAATTTACTGTTTTCTTTCAATCCTTGAACCCAATTGGTCCGTTACTTAACCTTTAGTGCTGTAAAGCAAGTAAACAATGCGGTTAAGTGAAACTAAAAAAAAATAAACCTAGTTAAAAACAGGCATCGCTAAATTAAATTGATTTATTTCCCATAACACTGAAACGGGAATAATGCCAAAAATTAATCCTATTAATAAAGTAGTTTTAAGTAAAAAAATATCCTCGAAACCCTGCTATAAAAAGTTATGTAATTTTCAACTAAAAAGTGTATTAAAAGAGGTTTTATACTGTTTATTATGCATGAAACCTCACTTTAAGGTTTTAAGAAGTCTTAATCAACGTCACTTGGGGACAACTTGTATAATTAAAACAACACGCTTGGTGGTTGAATCCCTTAGCATACTGCAGCGAATTCAATTCTCACTCATGCAATGTTTCTTTTGAAATAACGCTCAATTTTCTATACCAGTAATTATAATTTACACCCTAATAACCTAATAAAAACACAAAAAGAGCAACACATTAATTTGGTAATATAAAATAATAAAATCATAACACAAAGGCCTACATAATATGTTACTTAAGGTAGTATTACAGCCTGACTTCAACCAGGTTCTAACAGATGAAAGAGGAGGGATATTTTGGTGTTTTATACTTTGAAAGAGGGGACATATCCCTTAGGATGCAATATCCTTGGAAAGTTTACATACTACTAATTAATTGTGCACTCTTGTATAGTTCACCGTGTTAACAATGTATATACTGTATCTGAATAAATAAACAGTACCAGCAAACTAACACTTACTTTCTCCCATTAGCTTGTTTACGACCCTATTGGGTAAGCTGTGGCAGTAACTATGATATTAGGGAAAATCATAAAAATTGCAATAGATTTTGAACCGCATTTCTTACAGCGTAGGGTGGTGTACCATTTACTTAAGAGTTAAAAGGACAACAAGATTATACATTTGAAAAAATCGTTTGAGAAAACTATACAAACATCCAATTAATTTTATACTTTTCTTGTGTATAGACATATTTACACGACACACTGAGTCGTATAGTATTGTACTAAAATGTATATAATAATGGAGCCATATACTTTATTGGATTGTTTCGAATATCCTTCGGGGAGTATCTATCAAACATACCGATGCTTCAGAATATAACACCATTGAATAAACTGACTGTGGCCATAAATATACAATGGTAGTTTTATTCTTCTGCAGTAAACAGTTTTTCAACACTCATCATGATACACAATTGTTATGTTTAGTTTTTATCCTCTTTGGCTACATTTTATCAACTCTCTGACAGAATAAAATGATAAAAGTTACATAGAAAAATCATTGTGCTATTGTCTGAAGACATTTTTCATTATTGTTGACTCCCAAAAACTCCACCACGAAACATACGTCCACTGAGCTCCCAAGGAGATTATAAGGGAAGTAATAAGCCCATATTATTGCCGCGTGGAACATTTTAATGTTGGTTGATATTTTAAAAGACTAATACTGTACTGTATCTGTAAGACTGGTACTGTATCCAGGTAAACGAGAAGGCTATTATAACCACTCTGATGATCCTGGGCTCAACCATCTTCGGCTGGGCACCAGCATTTACGTACTACGCCCTGTTCTGCGAGGACTGTCTGTTCGCGGACTACTGGAACTTGCAAACACCGGGGGAACTGGCGGTGCTGCTGGTCATCAACTTCCTCATGATCTGCAAAACGGCCACCAACAGCTACATATACGCCTTCCGCATGAAGGAGATCAAGGTGGGAAAATAGTTTTACTCTAAATAGAACAAACTTGATGTATTTGACATGGGAAATGATGAATATAAGTGTACAATCGGTGAAATAAAATTAGTCTGTTAAAATTTAACAAATAAATCAGATCTCAGGGAAAATATCCAAAATAAACAGGAAGAATGTGCAATCAAAGTTGAGTAGGAATTACCAAGGTTGGTTGAGGATTATTTCATGCTACAATTATTTGCGTTTTAAGCATAGCGCTAAATCCTATACATGCATGTACAGGAAACGACAAAAAGCAAAACGCAGAGTGTATGGGGGAAACAAATTTAAATACAAATAGGAACAATGTAGTCAAAAGACCAACTGAAGATTACTGAAATTCGCCCCTTCTAAAATCCCCAGCCATATTAAAACACAAAATTATTATGTAAAAAAAAAAATATGACAATATATATTCTGGGTAACGATACTTTATCTTGGGAATTTACTATTACATTGGCAATAGTATTTTACTTAGTAATTGTGCATTGTTTTTACCCACTTTTACTGTTTTGATTGCAGATAGCACTGCGCCGGATGAGACGCAGACTGCTAATGTGTCTCTTCACCAACCAAATAGACTTCGACCAGTCCGACTGGACGGCCGGAGGGTTGACCAGGACCACGAGTCGTCAGTCCACCTCCAGGAGTCGCACCTTCGTCTACAGGATGAACTCTCTGCAGGACTCTCATGTGAACAACGGTGTGGCCAAACTATCTCCCGTTGACCCGTCCATGAGACGTTGTCGGTCCGCGAACTTTACCAGAAACAAGAGATGCAACACTTCAGTGTAGCACTATATATGTTTGTAAATACATGGGTTAGGTATTTGTGATATGAAAAGCATGGAGGAGAAGAAAAGGAGGAAAGTTGTGAATTAAGTAAAGAAAGAAATGGGAAGGATTAACAGAAGTTGGGAATGAGATGTATTGAGGAAATGGTGAGCAAGTAGGGCGGAATGGGAGGAGAGGGAATAATACAAGGTTCGACACTCAAGTTCAACCTGTTAAATAATGGCGTCATGGAAGGCCATTAAGTCGAGCGATAAGTTCGAGAGAGGTAAAATAAAGCACACTGTCACCGGGGTACTTTGTCAGATATTGGTATTGATAGATGGAAGAGGAGATCAACAGCAGTACCTACACGAATACCATTTATAAATTAACGGTTGATAAGAGGAGAGTAAAGAAATAGATATGGTGGGCTGGGAAGTAGAAGATAAGGAAGAGGAGATAAGGAATTTTTTTATGATTGAATGTGTTTGGATAGATGATAAATGAAGGAAAAAATATAAAAAAAAGGAAATATACTATGATAGATGATAAGGATTTGGGAAAAGGAAAGATGAAGGAATTGGAAAATGAACGACGACGAGGAAGAAGAAATAAATAGCAATATCAAACAAATGGAAACGATTGTATGAAACGAGTGTATGAACCGATGAAAAGTGAAACAGTAGCTTAAACTACTGGATAGTAAATATAAAAAAGAAAATTAAAAGCACCCAGTGAGCATTCATTATATTTCGCTATCCCTTATCAATGATGTCCAATAAAAAATTTGAAAAATATGGTAACAACGCTGTCATTCTTTAAAGTTGGTACATAACAAATATTGAACGTGCGTGTACTTATATGTACATATATACATATCTGTACATATATGTTTGATGTACTTTTATGTTTTACATAATATAAAAATATAAAGCATATTAAAGTTATTTGAATACCTTCACATTAACTTATTTAAAAACTGGAATAATATAATTTTAATATTTGTAACAACGTATTTGAAGCAGACAAGCTTTGCGTGTTACTAAGATTATTTTAAGCTGTAAATAAATAATCTTGATTCACATAAAATAATAGTTTTCTAGTTTATGGATATTTTTTTCTAAAACGTTACCGATAAATTTATTTTATTATACTATTGACATTTTATAAAAAAACATTTTCTTCTCCCCGTATCAGCAAACCCAAGTACTAGTCGAATTTAATGTTATTTAAATGTTGTACCGTATATGACTTGTTTATAGAAATATTTTAGTTGAAATGAAATCAGATAAATTTAAATTCGCATTTTCTACAGATTTGCTGAGGCAACTATCCAACATATTCATTTAGATTTTAATTATTCTTACTCTGACGATGTATCCTTTGAGATCATTCCTCAGTAACCATTGCCGTTTGAATTTAAGAGATACTTGTACATTTTCACCTCCAACGATAAATTCTTACACTATAATTATTGATAACGGGCGTGTAAAGTTTTATAAATAGTTAATTATAATTCAGCATGTGTTGCATTTGAAGATAGCATTTCGACTGTTTAGCAGGGTTGAAAGCAAGATCCATACGATCACTGATACAAGAGTATAGATTAACCTAATATTTTCGAACAAAGTTTTCAAAGTGTGGGAGATTGGGGTGCAATTGTCGGGCTTACTAAAGGTTGTATTTTTCTATATGTTTTTGATGGTTCTTTGAGAAATTGAACTAGGTATTAAGTACTGTATTAGTATTTATCAAATTGTTGTTGAAATATATATTTATTACAATACGTATTTCATTTAAGCCGCAAAACTCCTAAACTTCGGAACATGATTTACGAATTACTTTTAATACGTTATTATTACTAACAGTGCCATGGTATTATTATTTGTTTGTACTAAGTGAAAAACCATAATATCCACCTTTTCGTAATAAAATTTGACAAAGCCTTACAGTGGAAATATTCAATATTTTTTTGTTTATGAAATTGTTAAGGTATTTTGTCAACCAAAATAGAGAGTATTATAAATTCTAATGCAGAACTTAAATATAAACAGTTAAAACTTTTTATTTATTAAGAAATAATCCATAGGAAAGTCTTGTAATTGAATCAGACTAATGGCTTACACTAATATCTCCACTAACTTAGCCACATCTCCAAGGTTGACATTATCTGTTGATTACATAAACAAGGTCAACTGGCCTTAAGGGATACGCAGTTGATTAATTGCAATCTTAGTTGGTTTACTGCTGTTATTATGTGATGATTGTTATTATAAATGGAATTTCCACTGAAACTTAAATAATAAAAGCCAAAATTAGCTGAAAATACGTGAGTTTCCTTTACTGCTTTTACAATCGAAATAAACTACACCGAGCCATGGCTCGGTCCCCAGGTACTACTAGATTAAATATTAACACAAATAATTAGATTTAATTGCTATACCGTTTAAAAACATTCCTCACAACGTTAAAATATTTTTCTTACCGCTTATAACGTTGGTTATTTTTAAGTGAGTAAACGAATCAACTTGCATTTTCAATTATAGCCATGAATGAGTAACGTTTAAAATGTACACTATTAATCACGACCAAAATATAGTATTGTAAGTTACCTTTTAGAAGAATCGCGACTAAAAATGTTATTCTGAAAAGTGTTTTTCTTATATTTAAAGTAAAATATTCAACATTATCGGCATACAGTATTGTGATTGCTGTTAAAGAAACAAGCCGAAAGAAGACCGAAGTGTTCTCTTAGAATCGTTTGACAGTGTGAAAGATGGTAACTGGTAAAGATGGTGATGAATGGCAACTAAGGGACCTACAGTTTATAGTGGAATCCGAACCACATTTTTGCCTTGGTAATTAATGAAGTGCATTCCTATAAATATCCACAATTCGTGACCTCCTGGTAGCTGGATTACAGGACGACGGCACCCTCCCAGTCACTATATATTTATATATTTTTAACGTTATAACATGATTGTTTATTTTATAATATAAAATAGATTTTATATTTATAATTTACCAAGGTTAGTTATATTTTTTGAAATAACTATTTTTTTTAGACAACCACCAAAAATCAAGGTTAGGTTGAAGTGTATAAATAAACCGCAAGTAGTGGCAATATACGGGTCCTATGACACTTTAGGCACGTTTTCCCCATAAGAATAACATGGTGAGCTTTTTTTAGCCACTTTTTTAAAAATCCAGCTCTCGGCCTATACAAGCCTATATAAATGTTCAATACCATTGTATAACACTATTACTATTTCAAATCCACATCCATTCACAAAATCGAGCGAGGTTTGCACGCGAACTCGTGCGCGCTCCCCCATATAAAATGCATGCTACCCATATAAAATAATGTTAAATTTTTTTCTTACTTTTTGATTTTTTTATGTTGTAATGTTGTTTATAATCAAAAGTTGACACCCACTACGTTTGCCAGAATTTCAACCGTTTTGCCGTATCTCAAGCCGTTTTCGAGATATAAGCGTTTTTAGATAGTTTTACGGACTTAGACGATTTTTCATGGTAAATTTTATTTGTACCCATATAAAATAATGTTAAATTTTTTTCTTACTTTTTGATTTTTTTTATGTTGTAATATTGTTTATAATCAAAAGTTGACACCCACTACGTTTGCCAGAATTTCAACCGTTTTGCCGTATCTCAAGCCGTTTTCAAGATATAAGCGTTTTTAGGCAGTTTTACGGACTTAGACGATTTTTCATGGTAAATTTTATTTGTACCCATATAAAATAATGTTAAATTTGTTTCTTACTTTTTGATTTTTTTATGTTGTAATATTGTTTATAATCAAAAGTTGACACCCACTACGTTTGCCAGAATTTCAACCGTTTTGCCGTATCTCAAGCCGTTTTAGAGATATAAGCGTTTTTAGATAGTTTTACGAACACTGCCGCAAGGGCCAAGTGAAGCGGTCATGAGACTGGGGAATCCCCAGGTGGTGACGTCACCGGGGACGAGCCTATATATAGAAGTGGCATCCGGGTGATATTTCATTCTCGTGCGCAATGCCGACCTGTCAACACTGCTCCGCCTCGCTGTCCAAGAAGAGCAATTTGGTCCGCCACTACCAACGATATAAACAACTCATGGATCGCTGGCTCAGTGTTGGCCGCGCGGTCGAGCTTCCCCCACCACCTACTGGCAGAAGCCGACGCAGCCCATACATTCACCATTATAAAACACGCTTTTTATTTGCTGCACTGTTGAAATTTATAGGGATAAAATATTGCTAACGCTTGTCAAACTCTTTTTACTAGTTAAACCAAAAGGTTTAACTAGTAAAAAGAGTTTGACAAGCGTTAGCAATCACTCATAAAAATGTCTGTTTTGTTTCTTGCAGAAAATAACCCATTTGAATTCTTTAAAACTACAAATTCACTAAACCCGTTTTGTAGAGTTTTTTAGACAACTGATATTGCTAGTTCCAAATTGTACATGGTAAAATAATAAGTTATTACAAAGAAGAAATATAAAGTACAATATTTGTGTTTAAAATTCTATTTTATTAATCGAAAAACTATTACATAAACATTTAGAATAATTTTGCTAAGTTTTTGCCGCAGTGGTAACGTAAATGTTTGACGTAAACGCGATATTTTTTCTTTCAATGTTTAATGACAATGTATCTTAAAAAATAGGTCATAAAAAAGTATGCCTATCACGTTAATGTCAAGCATAGATTTGCGGTAAAAACTGGACAAATGTAGTAGGGTTTTTAAAAGTTCAAATGTGTTATTTTTGGCATGTATTAGCAATATTTTATATCTATATATTTAAACAGAGCAGCAACTTAAAAAGGCGCGTTTTACAATGGTGAGTGTATGGGCTGCGTCGGCTACTGCCAGTAGATGGTGGGGGGAGCTAGACCGAAAACAGCGCCCGCAGTGCTACTGAGAGCGCAATCCAGTAGTTTTTACATCGTTGGCCACTACAAGCTAGTACATCAAATGAAGGTGAAACTGTGCAAGGTATGTGATTTAATCTGTGATGATAATGTGGTTCTAAAATCGCATATATTACAAAGTCATAAGAATTGTAATTTTTGTAAGAAAAATGT